TGGGGGGGCACTTCTACCCCCTGCCATGGGAGCCCCGATATCCCTTCCTTCTCCCCACTGCCACTGCCCCCCAAGCCATTCCCCCAGACCCACTTGGCAGGCAGTCACTGCTTCCCCTTTACCAGTCCTCCAGGTAAGAGGGGTGGGCAGGGGCAGTCCTGGACCTTGTTTGCTCGGTCTGGCCCCAGTAAGGGGTTTAACATCCTCCCAGGATGTCCTCCTGGTCTCTAAATACCCTCCCTCAGTCTCCCCTCCTGCTCCCGAGGAGAGAACTGGTCCACAATGGCAGCCAGGAACCCCCCAAGTGCAGGAATAGTGTTTCTGTTAAAGGTGCTTGATAAATGGTGAAACCCTTTGGGGTCCTGCCTTGAGGCTCTGCCCTGGAGCTCTGCCCCCGTTGTGCAGCGATGCCTGGGGAAGAGGGAGCTACATCTCCCCTGGTTCCCTTTCCTTTTGGAAAACCAGCCCGGGAAAGCTCCCCGGCCCTGTGCCCCAAGGGAGAGGAGACAGGAATAGTGTTTCTGTTAAAGGTGCTTGATAAATGGTGAAACCCTTTGGGGTCCTGCCTTGAGGCTCTGCCCTGGAGCTCTGCCCCCGTTGTGCAGCGATGCCTGGGGAAGAGGGAGCTACATCTCCCCTGGTTCCCTTTCCTTTTGGAAAACCAGCCCGGGAAAGCTCCCCGGCCCTGTGCCCCAAGGGAGAGGAGACCCAAGAGCACCCCGTTACGTCCTGCGCTGCCCGGAGGAGCCGGGGAAGGAGCACCGTTGGTTATTGACACCTCTGAGGGTTTCTGCTATCCCGCCTCTGCGTTTCTGTCTCAGGAGGAGCTTGTTTTTCCTGCCGCTGTACGAAGCGGGGAGGGGGTCATGCCTGCCTTTGGATCATGGCGTTATCTCTGTGAGTCTCAGAGTAAAGCTGCCCAAGCCTGCAGGCGGGGAGATGAAGGTATTTGATCGGATTAGAGGTTCTGAGAAGTCAGATGAGCTGAAAGGGGCAGGCAGCTGTGGGAGGCAGTAATGGCATCCCGACGCAAAAACTCCTTTCTTAGTGTCATCTGTGCCTCTCTGACAGCTTTCTCTGCTGTATCTGAAACTAATGGGCAGCACTAGCACAGTAACTGCTTTGTACAGGGCCAGGCAGAGGACATCTGCTTTCCCCTCCCTTCTTGCCTAGTCACTCTTTCTTGGTTGAAGATACCCTGGGGCTTTCCAAGTTGTTATTTTAGCAGTGTGCTTCTGTTGCATGGTCACGGTTTGCTAGGTGCATGGCAAATACATCTTTGCCTGTGTCTACAGTTCACATTTTTTATGTGATTTCTTGTTGCCTGACAAGGGGAAAACAGAATCCAGAGGTTATACCAGAAAAGGGGGTGGCAACAAAGCTCACATCTCTCGTTTCGGAGACCTTTCTGTCCCTCTGTCAGGAAGATGACCGAGGGGCTCGGCAGCAGCATTGGTCTGGGGCCGAAGGGGTTTTGTTGCTTGGTGGCTGCTTTGTTCTGGACAGCTGAGCTTGGGAGTTGAAACAAAAGTTGCTTAATCCTCTCAAACTGCCTTGCAGCATTACTGAGACTTAGCGCTGCCCGCAGACAGCAGGGCTCAAGCAGCTTGCCTGTCTGCGCTCGACTCTGGGTACTTATCAGTGCTTATAATAGCAAATCCCTCTGCAGAGGGAGGGACAGGACGGATCTCCGGCACTGTGCCCTGCAAAGAGCTGTGTTCCTCGGCTGTCTTCACCTGTCGTGCTGCGAGTCGTGGGGCCGCCCTAATGTGGAGTGCGATCGCCACTGTGGTCCCCATCTGTGCGGTCCCCATCTGTGGAAAACCAGCCCCAGGTCGTAGTACAGCAAGCCCCGGCACGGACATCGTCTGCTGAGGTGCCTGGTGGCTTGTCGCAGCAGTGTCAGTGCTGGAAGGCATCCTCGTCCAAACATCTGGCACACCATGAAGGGCACGCGAGTCATCCAGAGACAGCAAAGCTGTGTTGAATCGAAGCCAAATTCCCTCTCGGCTTCACGTGTTGGACCATTTGGGATGGCGTTCACGCTGGTTTTTGATTCCTGCTTAGCTTGGAGTGTTTCTCCATGTGTTCTTGATGCGGCTGTTACAGAAGGTGACTGGGCTTTGGGGCAGCTGACAGGTTTTTGAAACACAATTCTGGGACTTCAGAAGGGCAAAGAGGTTGTGTACAGGGGTTTGTACGGCCGCCGTTGTGCTGAAGACCCTGTCTTCCCCGTGCTGCTCCAGTGTTTTCTGGGCTGGCTCTTGCTGTCCCAGAAGTCTCTGCAAAGCAGCAGCGCTTCAGCCCGTTACCCCATGGTAATTCATAGTGTCACAGCTGATAGCCGGTTCTGTAGCGATGGTTGGTAACAATGCTTTCTTTTTTTTTTTTTTCTTTTAACAGCTGCCCCTTCCTTGCCAGTCACCTCACCTTGGCCATCCCCATCATTGCAGCCATCCTCTTCTTCTTTGTCATCAGCTGCCTGCTCCAGACAAGCTTCAGAGACCCAGGTATCCTGCCCAGAGCCACCCCAAGTGAGGCTGCAGACCTGGAAAAGCGAATCGGTGAGACTTCTGTTCCCTCTCCTGTGTTTGGTCCAGTGCATACCTGTGTGTGTGTGAGCTCACACTTGGTGAGTGTCTGGAGAAAAGGACAGAGTATCAGATCATGAGGCTTGACAGTGTCTTAGGAGTCCTGGTAAGAGAGATGTGACAAGCTCCTCTAGCACAGCAGGCAATGCCTCGAAGAGAGAATCTGCAGAGAAGCAGAGGTGGTTTTTGTTTCTGTTTAGCCCCATGGCTTTCCCAGACAGAGCCCTGCGCAGTGGCTGGGGGCTGTACCCATTCCTGTCCTCAGGATGACACCTGTGTGCCAGGAGCACAGAGTCCCCCTTCAGAATCACGCTGCCAGGGTCTTGAAGTGCCTGGGCTGCTTCATAATGTGCATTAATTAACGTGAATGTTGTCCCAACTTGGAGGAATCTGACCCTGTACATTCTTCTGCAAAATATGTGTGGTGAGGACTTAGGATAATTAATTTAGGAATGAATGCTTTTTAAGATTATGGTTTGCCATTGAGCCTGCTGTGCCGTAGGGTTTTCTTTATTGTAGTGGTTTCTAACGCTATGGTAATATTTGTCCCCATCTAAAACTGCTGTGTCACGCTGTTTTGGAGGTGGCCAAGAAGGTGCATACATCCAGGATTTGTGGACCTTGTTGATGTGACCTCTACTAACAAATGCTTTAGCAAAGCTAGTGTGAGACAACTCAAACCTGCCCCGGTGAAGACAGTTGCAAGGCAATAATTCTACATCTGACTAAAAAAAAAAAAGGTTTTAAAATATCCTCAGAGTGGTTATCCATGTTTCTATTTATAAGTGCCTAAAGCGGTAATCTGGCTGCAGATGCTGCCTGATGTGCCAGCTGTTCCTGTTAATATAATCCACTCACTATCCTCTTAACATGCTCGCTGTTACATCTCTCTTTTTCAAAGATTTCCTCAGAATTGGAAAGGTGCTCTTTTAAGAGTGATTAAAATAAAGGAATAACCCCCAAAATTGCAAACGTGATACAGAAGTTTTCCAGGTCACGCTTTTGCTGAGCGGAGAAGCAGTCTCCAGCTGCCAGTCCCCAGTGAATAATGAAGTGCCACCACACACAGATGCAAGTTGTGGTGTCCCTAAAAATCCTTGATTTTGACCTTGAAGAGGAGGAATCCTCTTGTGCTACATAACATACACATGTCAAATTTCAATGAAATCTGCCTGGAGCACTTGAGACCTGCTCGCTGTCCTTCCCTGCTGCGATGAAAATGAGCCCCTTGAGCCTGGCGGTGCCGCTGGCTCTAGCTGTGGGTTGGCAAGTTGTGCGCTGGCGGCGGCAGGGGATGCTTCTGCTGAGGTTACCCTGATTTCTGTAACTTGGATGTGTACAGAAGAGGAGGAACCACATGTGCATTAACAGATTATGTTGCCTCCTCGTGTTGTGATCCGTTAAACATGCAGAGATGAGTTGGTGTTACTGGGCATGTTGACACTGCTGCTTTTGTGCTCGCTATTTATAAATTGCTTTATGTTCTCAAAGACTTGGGCAGATATTACTTCCTTTTGGCATCCCAGCAGCATTGCCATCAAACAGACAAGGAAAAGATATAAATAATGCTGTAAGGAGCTGACTGGAGTTCCTGGCTGCCCACCCTGCAACAAATCCCGTAGGCTGAGCTGCCTCTCAGCTTTTGATTAAAATCAGGAGAGCACGTGCCGATCCCTTACCCTGCTCAGGGTGATACGAGGGGAGCTTGGGTTTCACCTGCACCCGTTTGACTGTCCCTCCTTGCCCTTGCAGACAGCATGGGCACCTCTACCTATCGCCCACCAGCCCGCACGATGGAAGTGGTCATAAACAAGTATGTGGTGAAACTCAAGTACTGCTACACCTGCAAAATGTTCCGCCCTCCACGCACCTCTCACTGCAGCGTCTGCGACAACTGTGTCGGTAAGCCTGGGAAGTGGAAAGGTGCTGATATCTCTTGTGTGTGGGGAGGGGTGTTTTATGTTCCTGGACAGATTGTTTTTGCTTCTTGTAAAGGATTATAAAGCAAGATATTGAGTGGCTGGTCGTCTTCCTATTTAAAACCAAAGCGTCACCAGCGCAGTGGCTGAGGGTGAGGGGGCAGCACGTCCAAGACTCTGTGTCTCTGCTTTCTCTGGTTCTGGGAGGACCGTACCGTGAAACGTGCTTAAGGCCCCCACCAAACACAAGGTTTGCTGCCGACTCCTTGTTGTCTGTGGCCTTGCTGTTGCCAGGCTAGTAGAAGCACCACCATAGATGCTGGTTGAGCTTTTCTGCATCCTCTCCCTGTGCCCTCAGGCTGTCGTGGGCAGGAGGGAATGAACAAAGACCTGAAGAAAAGTCTCTGATGGCCCCACGCAGGTGTAGGGAGCTGCAGGCGAGTGGGCAGGGAGGTTCCCAGCACAGCCTGGCTGCTCCAGAGCAACTTGAACTGGCAGCAGAGTGACGTGGGATTTAGGGACATGCACAAGGAGTAAACTCTCCGAGCAGCTTCTCCTAGTCGTGCACCATGTGGATGCAGAGGCTGTGCTTTACGCTGTCTGCCGAGGCAGCCTGAGGAGCGACCAACCTGCGAGCAGTCCCAGGACCCCAAGGCTCTTCTTCAAGAGAAGTTTGGGAGTTGCCCAGCGTTAAATGTTTGGGGATAGCCGTGAATGGCTGTGACTCCTTACTCTGGAACAGCTCACTGGAAAGCAGCTGTGGCTGGGGCAGCGTTTGGAGAGGAGCTGTCTGGGGGTGTGGGTGTGCGCCTGCCTGGCATGCGATGGGTTTTGTTTGCACTGCTGTCCCCGGCAGAATGGTTACCACAGTCCTGTTAATCTGAAATGCAGCCCTTTCATTAGAAGGCAGTCGGGAGCGTTTCCAGATATATTACACCTGCCCTGGGTTCCCAGGCACTTTCTGTGGTTTTAGAGGCGTGTATTTATAACTTTGAAAATTATCTTCTGCCCCGAAGAAGGCGGGGGAAGCTGACGCGCAGAAAGGGAGCAGCAATGCTGCGTGCATGCACGCACTGCTGCTAGGTACTGGAAAAACCGCCGCACTTTCCCTGTTTCAGTTTTAGTAATGGTAGATGTTACCAGTCACGAGGCTTGTATTTATACAGGGTTTGGTGAGAGGAATGGTTTGGCCTTTGATGATTAAAAAAGGGCATGTGAGCAGGCGGCAGTGCTCTGTTGAAACTTCTTGCTAACGTACTGCTGCAGATGGGTTCTGGTCTCGAGTGGTGGGTGGAAGCTCCATTTGTAGCCCCTGGTTTTTGGAGGCTAAGCGGATTTCGCTCTGTTATGGGGTGCGAGGTAGCAGGAGTCCTCACCGTGTCCCTTTGTTTCAGAGAGGTTTGATCATCACTGCCCCTGGGTGGGCAACTGCGTGGGGAAGCGCAACTATCGCTACTTCTATGCCTTCATCCTCTCCCTCTCCTTCCTGACAGCCTTCATCTTTGCTTGCGTCGTCACCCACCTCACTCTGCGTAAGTACCACGGGTACTAGCAGTGATGTGTGCCGTGCTCCTGGCTGCAAACGACTTGAGCAGCACTGGGTCAACTCTTCCTGTTGGACAGAGCTTGGGAAGGGTCTGGGTGGTTTACACCAGGCTTTTCAGTGCGGGTGGCCTGAATAGACGGGGTTTCAGACTGCAGGGAACCACAGATCCACCCTGCAGAGAGACCTTGAGAGCTGATGACTGGATTATCCCCTCCAGAGCAAATGAGCTGGTGGGTGCATCCGCTCTTAACCTGGCGGGGAAGGTGACTTGCCCGTCAGCCCCAAATCTCCTGGAGCTGTGTCTGTGCACTGACATTTCTGCAGAGTTACAGGCTGCAGGTGTTTCTCAGGCAGCCAGGCAGATCTGTACAGCCCACGGGGGGGGTGGCTGCGTGCTCGGGAGTGAAGCGTTGGCTGGAGATGCAAGGCTGCCTGACGGCACATTGTTCCTTGTCCCCTTTTGCTTTGCAGGTTCTCAGAGAGATGGATTCCTCACCACTCTGAAGATGACACCTGCCAGATATCCTTCTGATGCCATCGGCTGCTCAGACTGTTGAGCACTGGTGCAGCAATGCTAATTGTGTAACAGAAGTGCAATGAGCTCTTTGTAGGGTCACCTTTGTGTACTTTCCACAACTTAATTTAGTCCCCTGGCTACCTGGTTGGGGCAGACAGGGACCTCTTCATCTGTAGGCTGATAACATCACCAAACTGGGAAGACCTTTAATTCCTTATTTAGTTCACTGCCAGGGACTAAGAGTGGGTGACAAACTTGTTTCCCAGTTTGCAAGTTTACGTGGAAAGGGAAGCGGCTGGACCAGGCTGTGCCTTGGTGGATGCCCGCAGAAAGGCGGAGGGAATGGGCAGCTTGCTGGGATGTTTTCGTGGCCCCAGTGTGTGTGGTCACAGCACGTACCTCCCAAAACAGTCCTCTGCCTCTTCTTGCAGGGTGATTTTTGTTCCCTGAGACTTCCTTGACTTGTTTCACTGTGCTGGAGCTGGTGATTTGTTTTTTCTCAGTCTGGTCTATTTTGGGCCTCTCAGGTTTTCACACTTACTTAGTTGCCTCCAACCTGACGACGAATGAAGATGTAAGTACCTGGACGCTTGTCCTTCTGCAGGGCCAGCCCTGGTCCTTCCTAAGCAGAGGTTTTCAGGGGATCCTTGGCTGCCTGCCTCGGTGCAGTATCTCAGCAGGGCATGCTGCCTGCATTGCCTGCCGTAATCCATTGCAAAGCAAACGACCCGTGCCCACGGCATTTAGGCTGTAGTTTCTGGTAGCTGAGTGGGGAGAAAGCAGCACGCAGCAGTGGGGGACTGTGCCACGTGTGGTGCTTGGCAGTGTCAGGCTACGGGGGTCACGCGCTGCAGTGTTAGAAAGGTCACGTGTGTGTTTTTTCCAGTCTATATGTGGCCCTGCTTAAAATTAGGAGTTCCGAGATTAAAAAAGGAAGGCTGGCCCCGGAGATTTATTTGGGTGTTAGCCTGGGACATGGGTGATCTTAATTCAGCATCCCGCATAACCACAGGTTTCCTCTGAGACCCTGGGCAAGTCCCTTTGTCTCTGTCAGTTCCTCATGTCTAATAAGCAAATAATGTACAGACATCTGTGATTTACCTTCAAGTCTGGGGTGCATGCAGACTCTAAGGGCCAAATGAGTACCCTGAGCAGGGCAGGTTGTACGGAAAAGCAGGATCTGTCTGATCCTCAGAATCAAAATTCACCCTTCTGGCCAGAAGTACCTGTAATCCTTGCTGGAAGCTTCCAGCACTGCAGAAGGCAGGTTTGCATCCCTCTCTCATTTTTTTTAATTTTACTTTTTTCCCCCTCCCCTTTCCTCTCCACCTCTCTGTTACGCTCAGAGATGTTGGCAGAACTGTGCCAGGCCACGTAAGCGAAGCTAACGGAGGTAGCGCCCCAGTACCGAGAGCACCAAGTCCGAAGCGCGTGGCCCGTTGCCTCTCTGGCCATGTTGCTCACGTTGCCAGCCTTATGCTGCAACTGGGGAGAGGAAGTAAAAACAAAAGGAGGAAATGTAATGGTAAATGGTTCGCTGCAGCCAGGGGCCTGAGGCCAGGTATAGCATCTGCCCACTCGTGTGTGCCTATGCTTGATGTCACCGGGGTTTCGAAATCAGAGTCCCAGTGGCAGCTGCTCAGGGTGGGGACAGATGAGATTGTTTCCTCCTGTTGCAGCAATGGCCTGGGAATCCCCTTGCTGTTTGTTCAGCCTGAGGAGCCCAGGAGGGACCATGAGCTAGAGCCCGGCTCTGGTGAGCTTTCAGCATAGTGGAGAAGGAGGGGAGGAGGAGGCGGCAGGTGTTGAGGACGGTGACACCGACAAGTTGCCAGGCAGCTTGGGGAAGGCACAGCTTTGGAGTTTTCTAGCTGCAAGGTTGAACCTTGGCAGAGGCAGGAGCAGCGTATTGCTGTCTCCTCTGGCTGCCTTTCTGCAGTTGTCCTGCATGGTAAAGCAAAGGGAGGGAGGATGTTTGCAGCAAGACAAGCCTTCCACCTCTTGAGCAAGGATTTGAACCGAGTCCATTGTTGTCTAATCGCACCTTTCCTATCTTAATCTGCCTGTATCCTTTTCCTTTCAGATCAAAGGGTCCTGGTCAAATAAGAGGGGTTCAGAGTTTGCCAATCCCTACAGCCATAAAAGTATCCTCACAAACTGCTGTGCGGTGCTGTGCGGACCATTCCATCCCAGGTAAGAGCCTTTGACCTCCACGGTGTTGGGAATTGCATCCTGCTCGGTGAGAGGGGCCTCGGAAAGGACAAATGATTCAGAGGAGACTGTGTCAACACAAACACATCTGCTCCCATGATGACGGGGAAACAGTTTCCCAGTCTCTGCAGAGAGCAGCTGGAGAAATGTGTGAGAGATGTAACTGTTGCTTCTCCTGCTTTGAGCTTGAGGAGTTTGGGTCAATTGTAATTGTTTCGTGGAGCTTGCAGGTTAGACACATCCTGTGATTCAACAAGGGAGAGTAATGACACCAAAGGGCTCAGCAGCAGACAGTAAATACTGGTAGTGGCAGTACTTCTTAGCATGTGTTTTTCCTCCTCTACTCTGAGGATCGAGCACTGTGGCAAGCAGCCAGCAGAGAACCGCACCAGGCAGTGCTCAGACCCCGGGTTTTACCAACGCTTAGATTACCTGAAATGCTTAGTAGCATCCTACCAAATGTGTAACCTGTGAGTTAACCAGAACCGATGTTAAAACAGCAAGGCGGGCAGCAGTTTGCTGCAGATGTAGTGAAGCTTTGGGCCTGCAGCCCAGGATTATCGCTGCTTTGTCACAAGAGGGTGCAATTGGGCAGAGTCAGGCTGGCATCCCCTTGCGCTGGGCTGCAGGAGTGAAGATTTGCACGCTGGCTTGGAGCTCTCGACCTGTCCTAGGGCATGTGGGGATCCTCAAGACAAGTGCGTTCACTGGGTCCAATTTAGATTTATATGGAGCATCTCGGAGGTGTAACTCGGGGTAACACAGCAGCGGGGGAGGATGTCTGTGCAGCCAGAGCCAGAGTGTGTTTTGCACTTACATCTGGCCCCACGTTCTGAAGTACCCCTGAGCTTTTTGTTGGATTCAGAGTGCTGAAATGCCAGTGCTGCCACTTGGGGATGGGAAATCTGCGGATTCAGGGAGCTGAGCTGTTTGCTGGAAGTTTGTGGGGAGAATAGTGTTTTACTCCAATTCTTTCCTCGTTCGTGTTGTTTTCTGGCAAGACCTTTTGCCAGTTCCCGTTTGGGTTTGTGGTGGCCCAAAGCTTTAACTGCCTAAAGGGTGTTTGGTGGCTTGTGTGATAAGTTTGTGGTTTGTCTCGTGGGCAGGAAGCTGT